TTTCGGTGCTTGCTTAAAACATGTTTGTTTAGGAAAGCCCATCCAGAAATGTGATGTTGGCAAGTTTTAATCATTTTTAATTACCTTTTAGTGATCTTTAACTGATTTTAATTGTTTTTAATAGTTTTCATTGATAATTTTAACATTTCCAGTAAACTGCTTAGAGGTTTTACTACAATCAAGTGATATATGCCAGGTGGCCCAAAAGTAGGCTTACAGAAGTTGGTATACAGTTGAAGGAAGGAAATTCCTCACAACAGATTATATGGGTACACATAACTGAAACACAACAAAGTGACTGTTAAATTTTAGGCTGGCAGTTGGAAAGAATAGTGGAGTCAGGTAAAAGGATTATTCTTCTTTACTGATATTGTGAATGATGACAGCGAACTTGAGTCAAGAACAAAGAAAGTGGATTTTAAAAGCAGTATACCTACTTTTGGGGGTCCCTGTACACTTTGCTATTTTAATAATAATATTATTATTATTTATCTGAAGTAACTAACATGGGAAGCTTCCTTATACTCAGTGTTATGAGCTGCCAGTACACATTTCTTGATAAAAGTGGTGTGGGTGTTGGCACAAAATGGCTGCCATGGGCAGCAATAAAAAGCAGAGGAGGTATTTCATAGCAGTGAGAGCCTGCATTTAAAAAAAAAAAACCACCACTACTTGCACTGTATCAGACCATGGGTCCAGCTAGTTCTGTGTTGTCATCACTGATCAGTTACCTTTTAATACCCATTAATAACTGCTTTGAATTTAAAACTGGAGAAAGATTTCCCAACATAATAATATTTGGAACGGAGGTTCGAATCCACTTGGTAGCTGTAAGTCCAGAATGAGGGTTCCCACAGAGCAACAAATCGTGAGCGAAAGGTGAGATTTGGCATGTGTGCCTTGCAGTTGCTGCTCCGTGCTGCTCAGGTTCCCGGATTTTTCAGAGGGTACTGAAAAAGGCATTGGACAGAAGGGACAGGAATGCCCTTGAAAGAGGTACAGAGCTGTTAGCTTTGTACACTGGGATTGTTATTGCTGGCCTGGTCTTCTGGCGTGACAAGTCACATAGTGAATGGATGAAAGGTACATCCAGTTTTAGCCTAAGGGAAAACCATCCATCTGGGTCATTCTTCAGTTGAAGAATTACTCTGTTTTTTATATCTGGCAAGGGACAGACAGGTCTGTCTGCAGAGAGAATTTCTTAGCAGGAACAGATGGAATCTGAAGTAGAAGATTTCTCTTCTCTTCCAACACTTCCTATTAATAGTTAATATTTCAGCCACTCGTGTCTGTTTCAGATATCTGTAACAGTTTTAGGTCTGCAGGTAGCAGAGATTTAGTTATTCTCATAATAGTATTTCTGTCCCACCTTTCCACTTAGCATAAAATTCTCGAGGTAGCTTACAATGCAAATTAAAACACAATATTACACAACCGTCTTCCTGCAGGTGGATCTGAAATTACAGCCTGTCTCAGGTTGCCATCCAAACAAAAACAACTTCTTATTGGTGTCAGGGCAGCTAGCTTCTGAATCCATTGTCCTGAATGCACCTTGTCTCTCAAAATCCAATTACAGTGGACTGAAAGGCATTTTCTCATGTTTGATTTTAAAGGTTTCTGATTTTTAAAGCTGCTTTTCTATCCTTTTCAGGCACCATCCTGTGATTAGCAGTAATGTGCTCCCCTCTTGTGTAGCTTTCACTTTTAAACCAGGGCATCAGCACCAGCTAGCATAATACTAATACTAATACTAATACTAATACTAATACTAATATTATTTATATCCCACCCATCTGACTGGGTTTCCCCAGCCACTCTGGGCAGCTTACAGCATATATAAAAACATAGTAAAGCATCAAGCATTAAAAACTTCCTGATACAGGGCTGCCTTCAGATGTCTTCTAAAAGTTGTGTAGTTCTTTATCTCCTTCACATCTGAAGGGTGTTCCACAGAGAGGGTGCCACTACCAAGAAGGCCCTCGGCCTGGTTCCAGTATCAGGAATAGCAAGAGCTGTACTGATTCCCCTCGTTTAAACTAATCAGAGTTTCTTTGGGCTTACGCTGCTCCTTTGTGACATAAAAGTGTGACTTGCTGCCTTAGCCATCCCTATCGTGTGTGTGTGTGTGAGAGAGAGAGAGGGGGGGGGGAGAGATAGAGAGAGAGGGGGGTAACTACGTCATCTATGGTTGTTGTCTCTGGGAATTTCTGGAGTGAGCAAGTAAGCTCACCATTTGACTGTCAGATGTAGAACATGAATAGTCCTCCAGTGATAATCCAACAATGATATTTGACGTGCCAACTGAATAGACGGTTGTGAGGTACAGTTTTGAGAAGGAAAGTGGTTTTGTTTTGTTTTTAAAAGAAGGGGCTGAATCATGTTTATTTTCCTTTCGAGAATAAATTATAAATGCCACACAGATCAGCCTGTCTGAAAAGGCTGAATTAATTAGCCTGTCACCTGAGAGAGTTATCGTCCTTTCTGCCAAGGATGGAGTGTTTTCAAAGAGCACTACAGAGATCCCATGTGGTACTTGACCTTTCCAGAGATGTGGTAGACAGATCAACGGGTGAGTGACTGCAACAAGCTGAAATGGCATAGCTGGGAAGAAGGAGAAGAGGTAGAAAAAAGTTGTGAGAGCAATTGAGAACATAATTTTCATAAACCTTAAAGAACTACTTCGGTTTGTAAGGTGAAGGATGGAACTAGTGATCCACTTAGGTGGCCTTGTTTCATGAGTACAGGTAAAACTTGTAAAGCTGGTGTTTCCCAAACTTTGGATAGGAAAAAAAAAATACATGAATTAAAATGGGAATTATGCTTCATTCTTACACCCCCCCAAATGTTTACAGCAGCCTTCTTCAACCTGGTGTCACCCAGATGTGCTGACTATCACTCCCATCATCCTTGACCGTGACAGAGGAGGCAAGTGGAGTTTAAATATACAGTGGTACCTCTGGTTACATACTTAATTTGTTCCAGAGGTCTGTTCTTAACCTGAAACTGTTCTTAACCTGAAGCACCACTTTAGCTAATGGGGCCTCCTCCTGCTGCTGCTGCGCCGCCGGAGCACGATTTCTGTTCTCATCCTGAAGCAAAGTTTTTAACCCGAGGTAATATTTCTGGGTTAGCGGAGTCTGTAACCTGAAGCGTATGTAACCTGAAGCGTATGTAACCCAAGGTATCACTGTATCTGGACGGTACCTGGTTAGGGAAAGCTGTTTGAGAGAAATGCAGCAATTGCCAGAGGCCCTGCTCCAGGTCCAACTGCCAAATGAAGCACAGTGGATGGCTGCCAGGAGCAGGGCCTTTTCACTGGTGGCAATGACTTTATGAAACACCCTCTGCAGAGAGATTTGGAGGCCTTCAACATTGCCTTCTGTCAGGTGCCAAGCCAAATGTTACTGTAAAAAAACCCCCAAACCACCCTTAGGCAAGCCTGGTTTGATAATGCCGCTACTTATTGTTGACTCTCATTGTGATGGTGTGTGTCAGGGATGGTATATTGCCATAGCTGCATCCTGCACTTAAGATCCTTCATTGAGTAGGATGTTGGACTGTGTGATCTTCAAGGTCCTGACAACTCTTACATTCTCTGGGAGGAATACAACGTTCCACTATTATGAATGTTCCATCTGTGCAAGCATTTCAGCTTGTCAGATGAAACAATTGCCCTCTCCTCCCGCCCCATGGTGCTGTTCTGGGGATATCCCAAGCCAATTTGGGGAGCATAGGGAGCACACAGATGGAGGAGAGGGGAGGAAGTGCTAGTGAAGATCCTTGTACAGGCGTCCACTAGCCAGACTCATTAACAGAATCATGGGGATTCATTCATCTATTTTACCTGAAACATTGTAGAGGTTTGTGCCCTTTGTAGCGAAAGCAGGATAGTTAGTACTCTTGGAAGGTGAGCCAAGCAGCAAGACTCTGTCCCTTGTGGTATTGGAACGCCAGAAGAATGACTACTTCTTCTTGGTCTACAGAAGTTCTGGCATAGCACTCCCCTGGCCACACTGACCATTGCTAGGATGGCATGTAGCTACTGCTACTGGTTGTTTATCCTTCTGGATTCTGTTTCACATCCACCTGACTCATAAGATGGCATAGCTGCTCCAGTCGGGGGGGGGGGGGCAAGGATGATGGCAAAGTCCTTCTTGGCTTCCTTGGCTGTGGAAGCTGCTTGCTGAGATAAAAAAAATGGAACCCATATAACAGTCCTACAAAGTTACCGAGGCTTTATAAGTACAGTGGTACCTCAGGTTACATACGCTTCAGGTTACATACGCTTCAGGTTACAAACTCCGCTAACCCAGAAATAGTACCTCAGGTTAAGAACTTTGCTTCAGGATGAGAACAGAAATCGTGCTCCGGCGGCACAGCAGCAGCAGGAGGCTCCATTAGCTAAAGTGGTACTTCAGGTTAAGAACAATTTCAGGTTAAGAAAGGACCTCCGGAACGAATTAAGTTCTTAACCCGAGGTACCACTGTATTTGCCCAGGTGCTGGAAGAGAAAGGTAGACCTTGTGTGGGAATGGATACAGGGAAGAGATGGGGCACTAACAAACAGATTTACAGATCAAGGACTAGTTCACACAAGCAGGTAGATTATTTGATTTTTGTTATGTATTGAAGTTCTCACCCTGGCCACCAGGAGTATCATGTATATGTATATGTTTCCTCCCCCTTTCTGTGAACACGCTGCCCAGTGATGTTCACAGAAAGGGGGAGGATGTTGGTTTCTGCTTTCTGCACAGTGAAGGAAAGCAGAAACCAACATCCTCCTGTGAACATCACTGGAGCATGCTCAGCAGTATCAGTACAAACCCAACTTCTGCGCATAGGTACAGTGTTGGGTTTGTACTGTTACTGTACGTACACGCTGCCCGTGATGTTCACAGAAAGGGGGAGGATGTTGGGTTCTGCTTTCTTTCCCGTGAGAAACTCCAACAGTACAGACTGTGGAATGTAAACACCTGTCTTGTGACTGCAGTTGCTGCACAGTGAAGGAAAGCAGAAACCAACATCCTCCCCCTTTCTGTGAACATCACTGGGCAGCGTGTTCGTACAGTATCAGTACAAACCCAACACTGTACCTATGTGCAGAAGTTGGGTTTGTACTGATACTGTACGAACACGCTGCCCAGTGATGTTCACAGAAAGGGGGAGGATGTTGGTTTCTGCTTTCCTTCACTGTGCAGCAACTGCAGTCACAAGACAGGTGTTTACATTCCACAGTCTGTACTGTTGGAGTTTCTCACGGGAAAGGGAGACTGGATGTGACGTACACTGGTTTCCTGTTTTTCACTCTGTCTGTTTTTTCTCTCCAAGCTGTCGAGGGAGAGAGGATGCATTTCTCTGCTCCAAGCAGAAGCAAGATGTCTTTCTGTAATATACCAGCTTTGAACTGTAAATAAAGCAATATGGAGTATGTAACACGTATTACTCATCCTTCCGCTGGCAACGAGACTCTGCTTTAAATTAACACGTGGTTATGGGCCCAGAGGTCGAATCGGAGTGCCGGCACAGGATCGGAATGCAGAGGGACGGATCGGAAAGGAATCTGCTCTGCGCGTAGAAGTGATTGATGAGGTATGTGCTACTGCTCCGGGCAGCCTGCCAGCTTCAAGTTAATGGCTTTATGGCTGGACTTTGAACTTTTAAAGCCGGTTTTGCTGGCAATAGGCAAAAGGCTCCCAGGCACAAGTCACTATGCTGGGGAAATCGAAAGTAACTTTTAAGTGTGCCTTTGTAATCAAGCAGCTGCAGCAGTGACGCAGCAAGAATTAAAGCAGCATATGACGCTGAAGGCTAATGCCAGAGTCATGATGGCCCTTCAGGATGCTTGTGGGATTCCTAAGCTCAACAAGAAAAATTACAGTGACTGGGTTCAGTATGCAGAGGCAATTCTGCGGAAAGAGGGTTTGTTTGAGGTGATTACAGAAACCCCCCCAGTTCCAGTTACAGATGCATGGGAAGCTAAGGATTCCAAAGCAAGGGGAACTCTTACATTGATAGTATCCCCAGAAGAGCTCTGTCTATTGCGTGATAAGACCTCAGCCAGAGAAATTTGGGACGCTCTGAGAGAGGCTCACTTAAGGACAGAAGCTGGATCCACTATGTTTTATTTTAACAAGCTGCATAATATGGCTCTTGCTGAAGGTGGAGATGTGCGTTTACATCTGATGCAGATGCAAAATCTGAGACATGAGCTGCAACAGAGAGGACTCAACTTTCCAGAGGCTGTGTATTCTTTCATGATACTACAATCTTTGGGTTCAGGTTGGGAGTCTGTTGCAACCCAGATTGCTGTGCAACCAACTGCTCAGCTGACAGTGGACTTTGTTACTGCCGTGATTTTAAATGAAGCAGATCGCCGGGGTGCTAGCTGCATGGGCAAGGGGAGTCTTCACAGACGTCATCCCATAGTGCAGTGGAACCACCAGATGGCGCCAAAGCTTTGAAGGCAGTGAAATGCTACACGTGTGGACGTCTAGGCCATATGAAGAGGGAATGCAGACATCCCAGGGCCAAGACAGAGCAGCGCAGCGAAAGCTCATCACGCGGAAAAGGCCGAGGCAAAGGCAAAGGTCCGGTGTCTAGGACAACGCAGCACAAGGCTATGGTTTCACGCTTCACTCCAAAGGTTGCAGAGGTCCAGAAGACGTCTAGATCTTTCTTCGTTGTTGATTCAGCGGCCACCCACCACATGTGCAACGATAAGAAACTGTTTGTGTCTTTTACACCGCAGGAAGGTGCGATTCACCAGGCGGATGACCACACTATTCCCAGTAAAGGCTACGGAACTGTTGTTCTTCACAGTTTGGACTTATCGATACAGAATGTGCTTTACGTGCCAGACGCCAAACATAATCTGCTCAGCGTTGGACAGCTGAATGAGCGGAACATTGACGTTTCCTTCAAGAACAAGAAGTGCATCATCACAAAGAAAAATGATTATGTATTGCATGCAGAATATGTTGATCATTTGTTTGTTTTGTATTATGATGATGTGGTGCAGGATGACACTTGTTGCATTGCAGGTTCTAACAAAGTTTGCATGCAGAATGTATTCACGATTTTCATCGCAAATTTGGTCATTTGCATTTTGAGGCAGTATCTAAAATGCCTGCCTTGGTTGAAGGTATGACTATTAAACCCTGCAGGTACCACATGAAGTGCAAAGCATGCGCAGCAAACAAAGTGAAAATGGCTGCGAAAGGTAAGGTGTCTAGTAGGACAGCTACAGAACCATACCAGGTTGTTCATGCTGATTTGGTTGGACCACTAACGCCCTCTTTGGGTGGAAATAGATACTTCATGGTTCTCATTGATGCATTTTCTAGATATATTTTTGTGTACAATCTCAAGCAGAAATCGGAGGCTTTTCCTAGGTTCAAGGAATTCTGTGCTTGGTTGGAAAATGTGCATGGTAAGAAGATAAAGACTCTTTTCAGTGATCGCGGGGGAATTCACTTCTCAGCAGTTTGAAGCTTTTCTGACTGAGAAAGGAATTCAACACGATTTGTCTAGTCCTCGCTCGCCATGGCAGAATGGACTTGCGGAACGGGCAAATCAGACATTGCTTCAAGGGTTAAAAACCTTGCTGCATGATGCCAATCTTCCAGAGAGTTATTGGGCCGAATCTCTCTCGTGTTTTGTTTACAGTTACAATCGCAGATTATCTTCAGCGATTGGTTGTACCCCCTATGAGAAGATGTTTGGCAAGAAGCCATACATCAAACACATGAAGATTTTTGGTTCTGACATGTGGGTTCGCTCACCACAAAACTCCAAGTTAGACAAGCGTGGATTGCATGGTATCTTTCTAGGTTATCAGAAAGGGTCTTACAGAATAATGATGACTGACTCTAAGACAATTAAGCTCACGAGAAGTGTTGAGTACAATGCAAAGTGGGGGAGAATGTGGGAATTTTCCAATGTTATCCTGATGACGGTGATGAGACTGAGGATAGTCAAAAGCAACCACAACAACCCACACCCACTGATGAAGGTTCTGAGTCTGAATCTGAAACTGAATCGGGTGATTCAGAGGATTTCGAGAGTGCGAAAGCCTCTATGCGACCCTCTGAAAGCTCTGATCAAGAATTGGAGGAACCATTGTTCACAATAGGTCGTTTTTCTCCTAAGAAGGAAGAGGAGAGTGTTGAAGACTTAAGGCTAATTCGTAGGTCACAGAGAGCCACAAAGGCAAACCTCCAAAGAGATTTGCTGATGAGTTTGCTAAGATAGCAGTAACAGCTGTTAAAAGCTCCAAGAAGGTATTTGAACCTTCAAGTTTCCAAGAAATCCAGGGTTTGGATTCGAAGGAAGCTGAGCCATGGTTAAATGCCATGAAGGCTGAGCTTGATTCCTTAGAAAGGAACAAAACATGGGAGCTAGTTCCAGTAGTTCCAGGAATGAAACTGCTTGGAAGCAAATGGGTCTTCAAAGCGAAGACAGATCAAAATGGCAAGATAGTCAGACACAAAGCCAGATTGGTAGCCAGAGGTTTTGCACAGGTACCAGGTCAAGACTATCACGAGACCTATTCACCCACAGTGAGATATGAAAGCATTAGGCTTATGCTCAAGCTAGCTGCAGAGGAAAATCTACACATTAGTCACCATGATATTAATACAGCTTTTCTGTACGGATCTCTAGATGAATCACTTTATATGCTTCCACCTGATGGCGTACAGGTAAAACAGGGATTTGTTTGTGCTCTGAAGAAATCCCTTTATGGTCTCAAACAAAGTGCACGGTGTTGGCACACAAAACTCACTGAAGTATTGTTTTCTCTAGGTTTTCAGCAAGGGAAAGCTGATCCATGTGTATTTGTCAAAGAGGAGGGGCAAAAGAAACTGTACTGTTTGTTTTATGTTGATGATTTATTATTCTTTTGGAAAGATGTCGCAATGTACAATAACGCCCTAGCTCAACTGAAAGAGCACTTTGACATGAAAGATCTTGGTGAGGTAAACAACTACCTATCTCTGGAAATAGAGAGAGATCAAGATGGTAACATTCTAGTACACCAGTCACGGAAAATTGCTGATGTGTTAAGCAAACTAAATCTGATGGATGCTAACCCTGTAGACACACCGATGACAACAGGTTATCAGGTAGATGACACTGAAGAAGCATTTTCTGACACTACACTGTACAGGAGTGTGCTAGGCAAGCTAAACTTCATTGCCAGATGTTCAAGACCAGACATTGCTGTTAGCTGTAATTTGCTAAGCAGACAAGTCAACAATCCTAGTGTCAAGGATTGGAAAGCTCTGAAACGCATAGCGCGGTATTTGAAAGGCACTATGCATTACAGACTGAGATTTAACAATCAGAAGTCTGGTGGTCTTGAGATATTTGCAGATGCAAGTTTTGGAAGTGACACTACAGACAGGAAAAGTACGTCTGGAGTTTGCTACATGTACAATCAGAGTCTGTTTGATTGGTCATGCAAGAAGCAAACAACAGTTAGCTTAAGTACTTGTGAAGCCGAACTGAATGCACTGTCTTATTCACTTAAGGATTGTGAATGGTTAGTACAATTGTGCAAAGATATGAAAATTCCTGTCAAATGTCCAATCCAGGTTTACCAGGACAACAAAGCATGTTTGGCTTTGCTCAAGTCTGAAGGTTGTAAGCAAAGCACAAAGCACTTGCAATTAAAGTTGCAGCATGCTAGGGAATGTATTCAGAAGGGACTCGTAACGGTGTCCTATATGCCAGGTAATGAAATTCCTGCTGATGTATTGTCCAAGATTGTATCGAGGGATCAACACTGTACCTATGTGCAGAAGTTGGGTTTGTACTGATACTGTACAAACACGCTGCCCAGTGATGTTCACAGAAGGGGAGGATGTTGGTTTCTGTTTCCTTCACTGTGCAGCAACTGCAGTCACAAGACAGGTGTTTACATTCCACAGTCTGTACTGTTGGAGTTTCTCACGGGAAAGGGAGACTGGATGTGACGTACACTGGTTTCCTGTTTTTCACTCTGTCTGTTTTTTCTCTCCAAGCTGTCGAGGGAGAGAGGATGCATTTCTCTGCTCCAAGCAGAAGCAAGATGTCTTTCTGTAATATACCAGCTTTGAACTGTAAATAAAGCAATATGGAGTATGTAACACGTATTACTCATCCTTCCGCTGGCAACGAGACTCTGCTTTAAATTAACAGTATATAGTTTTCACTCAGGTCCAC